TATTAGAGCTTTTGTTTTTATGCATCACACATTTAACAAATAAAATTTGTTAGTTTATTATACATGTATATAAGAAATTTTTTGCTGCTCCAAAGACAAGATGAGAGGATCAGGACGGAATCTGGCTGCTCCTGCCCGACAGAGGAGGAAAGGGCGGAGGCGAGACAGCTCCCAGGGACATCTTGAGAGCAGGATCCCTCCTTCTACTGGGAACGACAAGGATTACGTCTGCTGGAAAGAGCCAATTCTCATAACAGCAACCACCCAAACTCCCTTATTCCTCCTTTGGCAGTAGCAGCAGCACGCCAGCCGTAATGCCACCCAGGAAAAGATGGTCTTCAAAAGCTCAAAGGCTGCCAGGTCCTCCTCACTGCAAGACCCCACACAAGGCAGAATTAGAGACTCATAAAAATGTTTTGATTGGAAGGGCTCTCCAGTGGGCATACAGACCAACCTCCTGCTCAGGCAGCGATAGCTTCAAAGTCAGAGCATGCTGCTCATGAAGGTGTCCAAGGACGGAGATGCCAGGGCCTCCTTAGGCAGAACTGCTTTCCCTTATGCTAAGCCAGAATTTGCTTTGCTGCAAATCATGACCATTCCCTTCTTGTCTTGTCATTGCACGCCTCTCAGAAGAGTTTGGCTCCATCCTCTCCAGGACCTTCTTTTAGGTGGCAGGAGACTGCAATTAGATCCCTCCTGAGCTTTGTCTTCTTCAGGCTAAGCTGCCCCAGCTCTTTCATCCTTCCCTCATGCAGCCAGCCCCTTGCCTTCCCAGTGGTCTTCCACTGGTCTCGCTCTAGGTTGTGAATATCCCTTTTCACCGTAGGGGCTCAAAACTGGATTCAGTGTGTGCGACGCAGCCTCACAACTGCTGGGTGGAAGGGAATAACCATTTCACCCGACACGCTGTCCACGCTCTCGGTGACACTGTCTCGTGCACCGCTAGCCTTCGTCACTACATGGGCACACTGCTCACTCCTGCTGTCATCCACCATGACTCCCGACACCCTTTTTGCATTGATGCTACTCAGACATTTGGTCCTCAGCCTGCACAGATGATGGAGTTATTCCTACCCTGGGAGGAACTCAGGGTTTTGCATTTGCCTTTGCTGAAGCTCAGGAAGTTCCTCTCAGCTCAGCCCTGCCGAGGTTCCTCTGATCAGCAGACCTGCCTTTCCACGTGTCCACCACCTACCCTCCAGATTTTGCCACCTGAAAACCAAGTTGTTTTGCTGTCTGAAAACCAGGCTGCATTCTCTTCTGGTGCCTGGGCCTGAAGATACTAAACAGTATCAGCCCCATTATCAACCCCAAAAAACATTTAGCCAGCTGCCAGTTAGACTTCAACCCACTAAGTGCTATGCCCTGTGCTCCTGCCAGGCCACCCAGTTTTTCACCCACATTATACTTCACCCATCCACTTTGAACCGCCTCAGTTTGCCTTCAATGGGAAATGGAGAGCCTAGAAATCATTATGGCAGAGTCTGCTGGCGTGTAACCACAAATTACTTCTATGAAATGGCTGATAATTCCCCTGAACAGAGCGAGCTAAACACAACAGGGCAGGCAAGCAAATGAAAATACAATGAAGCTTTCCAGAAGAATGTCCTTCAACTCTGGATTAAAAGGATTATACCACTTAGTATACCATTTTTATGACCCCTTGCCAAGTTTTCTGCAGATAAGTTGAGAATTGAAATTCCCTAGCGCAAAGCTACTCCATTCATGCAAAAAGCACACAACAGCCCACTTTTATATGCTGCTCTGCATGTCTTGCAAAGTAATTTCAGAATAACCTGAAATCTTGAAAGCGAGACCACACAGCAAAACAACTGTGTGTCATGGTCACACCACAATATGACTAATTTTATTAAAATACACGTTGGAGGATTGCTATCATACAGTGTTACTTTGGAGCATAGTTAACAAAAACTTACCTCAGATCATCTACATCCAGTTTAATTGTCTATTATTTGTGTGCCTCAAGTAATGCTACAGAAACACTGCTATGCTTTCCACAGCATAAATTCCTAAAATTCCTATTTTCCCTAGAAAAAATACCACTAGAATTGATGGCACCTGGACGATAGCTGATAATTCTAATTTTCCTCAAGAAATTCATAACCTTTATGGCACTGGACATGTCTATATGGCCTTAAGTATCAGCAACCCACAACAGCTATCATCTGGGCCTGGTTCAGTTTAGGTACTAACCCTTTCCCACTTCACATTGTACCATGTGGTGCTCTTCTCTGTGCAAGAGAGACTCCTGTGCACCCTGACCTATTGCACAACCCACATGAACTATACTGAGTTACCAGCTGCAAGATTTCTGGAACTACAACAAAGCCATCTTGGCATCCCAGCTGGGGAACAGGATGAAAGCCTTTAAAGCACTTCTTTTTTTTTTAAAAAAAACAACAACTTTCCTCTGCAACCAGAGCAGCATACCAGAAACTCCTTTAAAAATAAATGAAACCTGGATTTTGCAAACAAAGAGATGAATCCCAGATTGAAAAAATACCTGTACTATTAACATGAACTCTCAGAATAAACAAAACTCTGCAAATTCTTTCTGCAGAACGTTACTTTATGTACATACGGTACATACCTTTGTGCAATCTGGTAAAGTGACCAGGACAGAGTCAACAGGATTTGCCCCAACTTATCCCAATTGACAGCTTGTCCCATGATTAAACATAGCAGCAGAGAACTGAAAGAAACTTTCTGAGTCATCAGGTCCCATCCCTTAGTAGCGCAGGCTCCCACGCACCATCTAATCCTATCGTAATCCTGCTGAGCTTCATCTCAAACCTCCTCAGGTTGTTGCACCATTATTTGCTTAGTTAAAATACTCCAAAAGTATTTCAGAGCAGGTAAGTATTTCCTATCTAAACCCTGCAATAAACACATTTCTTAACTTATTTACTACTATATAATGCACCGAAACATGTTAATATTCTTTGATTCAGGAAAAAAGGGTTGATAAGAACATGTGCTTACACTAAAGTCAATCATTCAAATCTTATAAATAATAGTAATAATGATACTTTCCCCTCCCATGGTTGTTCCACATAAGTATATGTATTTACTAAGAGAGAAGGAGGTACTTCATAGAGAAATACCTTAAAAAAAAGAAAAAAAGTTACTTCATCATATTTTCAGAGTGGCAGAAACCAGGTGGAGCTGTAAGGTGGTGCTCTTGATACCAATTACTCTGCCCTCCAGTCACTCGCAGCTGATCTGGAGGAATCTAGAGATACACAACGCAATGTCCGTTACTTTTGCTCCGGAGCTATACAAAACTCAAGAGGCCATCACCGAGCCTGTTTAAGCAGCCCTTTTCAAAGATTTAAATTACAGAGTAAGCCATTCCTTAAATGGTTTCTTACCACAAGGATTTTAATTTAAACAACTGCAGTACTGCCTCTAGAACATACAAGCAGTTGAGGACAGGAGGCATCCAGAAAACCCCACTGTCATCATTTGCTCAGAGGAACACAACAGAAGGGCCTCTCCCAGAGCCCGCTGGCAGGTACCTGCTCTGTGGGCACCTGGTTCCTGCTAATCCTATTGCAACACGGGTACCTGTCTGCAGGAGAGATCCTACTCTGGGCTTCTGGTCAAAGTAATAAATACTGCCCTAGCTATCAGCTAAGGCAGAAAAAGAGGAAAGGTTGTGGCTGGACAATGAATTAATGTATGTCACATATTTAAAAATATCCAGTGTGGAAAAAACATGCAACCCCATATATGCTGGTTAAGTTGAAGCCTATTTGGAGCCCAGTCTCCAATGAGGTCATATTAAAGTACACAGTTCTGTCTATACTGGATTTCCAGATGCATTAGCTAACTGTTTTACTGGGCCTTGTAAATTCTAGCCTAGAAGAGGCCAGAGACAGAAAAAGGCATCGTAATAAAAGGAATTGGGCAGAACTCTGGTTTAGATTCAGAGGTCTATGGGAGATGCAGGAGACGAGTTCATGCACCCAAGTTTTCCCAAGCACAGACAGGCAAAAAACCCAAGCAGAAAATAGGCTTAGAGAGGTTTTACACAAGATAGCAGTAAAGCAAATTTTTCCTTTTCTGAGAATATCTCCCTTTGTCACAGTTTAGTGAACTACCTGGATACAAACACATATACAGGCCAAAATCTGCAAACACAAATGCTTAACTGGATTGCTAAACAACTACTCCAATTTGTATTTAGACTGAAATTTTAACTGTATCTGCTTCCAAGTTAAGCTGAACACCTATACATGCATTTTTGTTTTCGAAGACTTCTTCTGATTGATTCTAGACAGCCTGGCTCACACATGGGCTCCTCTGTAGAATTTGAGAACAAAGATTTGGCACCAAACTTCAAAGTCAAAACTAATGCCTTCAATGCAGCTCCCTACAAGTGCTGGCACCTCCATGAGGGAGGAAGATGACCACACTACACCTGTGATTTACATAAAGATATACGGCATTTATGAAAAAAAGGAAGTAGTAGTTTAACTAAAAAGTTTTTACAGATACTTATCCTGATTTCAAAAGAACATACAAAAGTGTTAAATCACCATTCCCACTCAAGGGACAGATTCTCTTAGATTTAGTGATGACAGTGACCTACGGCCCAGAACCCTGCTGTACGCTGAGCATCTGTCCTGAACCTTTAACTGACATGCCAAACGACATGAAGCATTTACATCATTCAGTGCCATTTTCCAGTTTAATTATTATTTGAATTATTTCAATAATATTTCAAAAATATTATTTTAACTATTATCCTACTTATCCCACCTTCTTCTAAACTTAGTTACCCAGAAAGATATTATTTCATAATCTTATCTCTTCTGAAATAATTAATTTAATTTCGTCAATGCACGAAGGCAAATTTCAGAAAAAAGTAATAAAAAGAGAAAATAAATAATAGCTAGCTTTCAGCAGAAGGACTTAACTACTGGAAAGAATATAACCTTAAGTATTATTGGCAAAGGAGCGAGAGCAATACCTACCACAGATCTGGGTTTGCTGACTGCCACCAGGTTGGCCAGAAAGTCTTCATCGTACAGCTGGCTAAAAACATGGGCATCATAAGCCACCATTATGGAGATTTCTTCCATCATTTTGCCAGCTGCCGTTAGTGGCCCGAGCAGGTTGACAGTCCAAGGCTGAACCTTGGCTCAGTTCCGTGTCAGTTGTTCACACCCACCTGAAGAAGCTAACGAGGAAGGAGAGTCACGAGAGAAAATATGACCCAGCAAATCAGCTCCCCTGTGGGTTTTCCTCTCAAGGGTGCCTTTTATTATCATGGGAAGCACATATGAAACACCTGCTCACACTCCCAACACCCAACTTGCAAAAGTCATTTGTTGAAGTTTGGTGAAATTCAGGGCACCTGTTTAAATTCCAGTATTAGGCTGAAGATTAAAAAGCAGGAGCCAAACCAGATTAGTATCAAGCAAGAAAAGATCCGTCAGTACTTGACAGCAGGACTGGAATCACTTCTGTTCTTCTCGAACTTCGTAGCAATTGTTTATTCTTTATGTCCAGTTTTCTCCCATGAAAACTGATATTCTTGTTAGCAGAGTCTCACTTTCCAATGATCTGCTGCTTCTGGCTTACTTGTAAATTCACAGACTGGTGTAATGATGATTTCTTTCAGACGTCCCTTGGGATTTTCCACAAGTTTCTAAATCTCTCCTTTAAAATCTTTAGAAACACTCATTTTCAGTTTTACACAGATCTGCATTTTGTGCTACGTAGACACTTTGATTTTAGCAGGAAGATGATGGCATCAAGTCACAACCCTCCAAAAAGGTCCTTCAGTTTCCCTTTGCAATACAGGGTAAAACAGCCATGCAAAACACAACAAAAGCTGTAAGGTCTTCCCTGAATAAGCTCGCACCTCCACAAGTGAAATAAAACCAGTTTATGCAATTGACAGTTTCCACCGTAGAAGGTTTTTAACCTGAATCTGGGACTGGTTTGCTTTTAATCAGGAAGTCATATAGCATCTCTTGTCTATATGTCCTAAACAGCGTAGCTGCCTTCCAAATTGCTCCTGACTTTCCAATTCATTTATCATAACATCTGACACAGAGAAAAACCAGCACAAGGAAAAAATTCTGAAAAAAAAAATTTAAAAAATCAATATTCTTAAACTACAAATGAAAATCTAGAAAATAAGTGATTTGAAGAAACAAACAAAATATCCCCAAAAGAAACTCCTTTCAGGAGACTCAGGCAAGGTAAAACTCAAAATTAGCACTTCTGCTTAGACTCATCCCCTACATTTTTATGTTCTCTAGAAGCCTTTTGTTCTTCCTGGTGAAAAATCATACCTGCTCAAGAAACATAAATCATTTCAGCTATGCGCTTGTCTCCAAAAAGAGTACGTGCTGGATGCTGCAAATCTGGTAGATATTTCCAGTTCAGGTTGCCAGTAGCATATGGTTCTGCTCTCGCTTTCCAGAATAAACAGGGTCAGACCCACCTTGCTTTTCTCTTCTTCCTGTGCTCCCGGAGTATCTTTATCAAAGATTACATGGGTATCTAAGTAGCACCAGGTGCTATTTGCATTTGAATAGGAAACTTGAGCAACAGCTGTAGCATACAGGATTTAAAACCCAACATCTCTTTCACTTAAATAGGGGTGGAAATTACATGTTATTGCTAGGAAACAGAGAGAGTCCTAATAGGCTTATGGCAAACAAAAAATGCAGCACTTGAGGTTAAATCCTTGAGACTAAAGCAGATTCTGATCATGCTTAACCCTTGCAGGAGGAACAAAGGTATTTTTTCCTTGAAATGCACCTATAGTTCATTTTAAAAATTTTTTCTTCAAAGGCTTGCAAATTTTTTCCAATTACCTCCCACAGCAGAGGTGCTTTAGATTCCGATCCTGAAGAGATCTCCAGCTCATGAGATCACTCTATCACCTATATAAAAATCATACCTGCTATGCTAAATCCTGCTTAGGTTTTCCGAAGCACTTTAAACGATGGCTTCCTCTTCGCTTTCATTGCCTTGTGGGGTGTTGTTTTTTTTTTTCTCGTAGAAAAAGTTCAAAGCGTAAGGCTAAGAGTGGCTCCTCCTCGGCTGCCTCCGAGGTGTGCTGACAAAGGCACCTGTTGTAAGAGGTAAAGAAAGTCCCTTCCCACAACCCCTCCCGCCCCGCTGGCACCCGCTCCAGAGGCTCCCTACAGGGACTGACATTACATTGGAATAGTCATGTAGGTGCAGGGAGAGAGCAGGCGGTGTAACAACAAACATTCCCATGTTAATGAGAGACCAATTTAATTCTGCAATAAGGGCAGGAGGTGGAGAATGCAAATTATCAGACGTACTCCGCAGCTGCAGCTACTCAAATCGCTTCCCTGATTTAGTCAACAGGCATTTCTATTTATAAGGAATTATAGACCAGAACCTATATTCCCTTTTTATTTTTTCATCTTAAAAAGAAAGGTTACGATGATTAAACAGCACTAAATCTACATGTTACTATTGTATTTTGGCCAAATAATTCTTCTCATATCTATTCTTAATAGAGGGCTTGTAATTTTGGCATGTTCCAACTAGCAACAGCAAGAACTAACAACTGATTTTTGATGTTGACTAATGCATATCTTTACTTTAAAAAGGATGTTTTTCAGCTGTTGTTTCAAGCTAATGGAGCTCAGCTGACCACAAATCCCTATGAACCTGCATTTTACATCCATGTTAACAATCTGTGCTATATTGTCAATCCGTACACAAAATTGTATCAAGCCAGTTAAACTAAATCTTTTTAATTAAACTGACTGAAGCAAATAACATCCACCGAGACACAGTGGTAGCATGCTCACACCAGAGGAACTGGAAAGGAAAAGGCAAGCAGAGAGATGCCCTTCACCACCTCCTCAGGCCGCACTACAACTCCTCCCAGCATTTCAACACAGAGCCTTCCCCTCAGCCAGGGTTTCTGAGTGCTGAAGTGGAGAATAATCAATCAAAAGACAATAAAAACCACAATAGTGCAGCTTCATATTTGTTTAAAGCAAACAGCGCTTCTCTGTATAACACCACATCTACCTTGTAGCAGCCTTCCTCGAGGAACAGGAACGCAGCCCCCTCCGCGACATAGTTTTGAAAGCATACCTCCAAAGCAGGAATTTTTGGAGATGCAGTTCAACCAAGCAGTCAGGACGACAGAGGAGACCCAGCAGAAGGACAGGTGAGCTGCAGAAAACTGTTACTAATTAAGGTAAGTAGCCCTAATTGTTGGGATTTATATGCTGGTGGATAACAGAGGTGAATGGAAAATTCCTGAATTGAGCAAACCAGCTAGCTTAGCAAAGCAAAATCCTGCTCACTCCCAAGATAAATTCACTCTCACTCCACCCCCAGGAATGTCTTGCTGCTATCTGACAGGGATAGGATCTTCTGATAGACGGGAAAGCGTTACGTATGTGAGGTATGTGCAGCTTCTCGCTGAGCGCTCCCTTCCTGTCACCACATTTCTGAAACACAAAGGCATTTTCTGTGATTTGCTTTTCATGTACTAATGAATCTGGGAAGATCACAGCAGTCTTCAGGTAAGGAAACATAAAACTCTTTTCAGAGCACTTGGAATGACATTTGGCAGCCTTCAAGATAAGTTTCAGGGTTTTCTTTCCCCGAATAGGAACGAATAACATAGTAGCACACTCTTTTCACAATTCCGTTACCCGTTAATAACTGGAAGAACTGTTTAGAACACAACCAGCAAGTGAAAAACACCTGGTTACAAGTCAAACACTGTGAATCCCGATGCACAGTTATGTTCCCTCCTCACCCCACAAAGGGCTTGCCGGTCATCGGAGAACAGCAGATAGCCCAGGCCTTCCATCTGCACACTCAGTCACCGGCAGTGCCACCTAAAGCCCCTGTGGGCATCGTTGCTGTCTTTGGGAAGCCGCCTGCCTGTGCTGGAGCAAAAGGCAGGAAGCGGCTGCCCGTCCCTTGCACGTGTGGTTACCACAGTGAAATAAGCATTTACTGCTGTGCTGCTGCAGCCTCTGAGAAGGCTGTGATTTTATTCACAACTCTGTTCCAGTGTTAGACATCAGAAGGTAAATGCCTTTAGACAAGTTTTGCGAGTCAAAGTGAGCACTGAATGCTAAGCCATTGCTCGCAGGACCGCCCCATACCATTTGTGATAAACAGTTGTCGGCTCAGGCTGATCTATAGTTCAGCAATTGCTACTCCAAATTTTATTCTTGTTATTTAAAATGTCAAGTAACTTGGCGCTTTTTTTTTTTTCTCCCAAAGAAGTGGTTGTATGCACCTGTGTTTCTTCTAAAATAATCCTCCAAATGAGCGGAAAAATCTGGGCTGGATGTGCTTTAGCATACGTACTTACATGGGTAAATCCTCCCAATTTGCAGCTATGCCACATTCTCCTGATTTGAAAGCAGGCAAGATTGTAAACTCATTTTTGCAGATTAAAGCCAGCAAAGCCAACCTGCTGGAGAGAGCCAACATTTCTCTCAAAGCAGTGGCAGAGGTCAGCATGGCTGGAATTGCTGAGCCAGAGGCATTCCCGACAAACCGGTGATGCTGGCGTGCCCTCCCCCTCAATGTAAATGCGTAGCCCACCGCAGGGAAAAGCTGAGGACTTCTGAGTCTTCACTTGATGTTGCCAGCTCTGCCTCTTGCATTATTTACTGTAAGCACAAATAATAGAGGAGGGCAGTAATGTCGCGCTGGTCTCCTTCAGTCTTATGGGAAAGCACAAACAGCAAAAGCAGGTGGAACTTTTACAAATGCATCCAGTGCTTCGTTATGGATTAAAATGAACATAGCAGACAATACCTAAATTCCCCTCTCTCAACCTCCCCAAACCAGCTGTATCCAACACAAAAAGCTAGTCCTGCTCCTGTGCAACAACTGCGGATTTTCTTCCACAAAGTTCCTAGATGATCTTTAAAGCTTATGAAAAGAAGTGAAACTATTTAGTTCCCTCACCTCTAAAACTACAATGGGCAGAAGAGCAGGCTAGGTGAGAGCTCCCAACCTGCTGAAGGTCACTCCCTGTATTTTTAAAAGCATATTCTCTGTTAATTCTGTTCTGTGTATTTGTTCTGTTTCTCAAAGAGACGGTTAT